TTTCTGGGTAGCGCTAAAAGTAAGGTTAATACAGTTAAAGAAACCCTCGAAAATAGTGATTCCCATTTTGAAAAATCACTATGACCTTGAAATAACCTTGAAAATCGAGTTCAAGGTCAAGATCAGAGTACAGATAGGTGACCCCCTCGGCCCCCTTTAACATTTGTCTGAACCAATTTTACGTATTTGGCTTAGGTTCCGATATATTCAATTGGGAAATCAAAATTCGCAAACCTGACCTTCATTCGACCTTGCCATGACCTTGATTAACATATCATTTTGAGCGTAAAATTTCCCGCTCTTTTCAAATCCGGAATCAAAAATAGGTGTTCCCATTTAAAAAAATCACTTTGACCTTGAAATAACCTTGAAAATCGAGTTCAAGGTCAAGGTCCTTGGTACCATTACGTGACCCCCTCTGTCCCCTTCTACTTTTGTCTGGACCATATTTCTCTATCTGACTTAGATTACGAGAAATTTAGGTGGGGAGATTAAAATGGCCCACCCTATATATATATATATATATATATATATATATATATATATATATATAAGACTTAAAGTAGTAAATTGTTTTCACTCATTGCATGTGTAAATTTTAAATAAATATATTGTAAATTTTATACTCACAGATTATATTGATTATGCGTTAAATTTTCAGTATATTTATTAACAGATTATATTTAATAAATTAAGCTACTTTATGTACATTTTTATATCATTGTAGTCTACAAATATGATTTCAATCTAATCAAACATAAGGGATTCAACGTTGCTAAATTTCGTGATTTTATATACGTTAAAGTTGCTGTAAAGTTTACGTACATCTTTCTATCGGGGAATGTATGTATGTAAATCTTTATTGATCCCCAAATGGGGATACAAAGTCTAACAAATTGCCAATCTTCGCCACACTAACTACCCACACACATACACACACACCTCCGCAACCTAACTCTTAATCTCTAAACTTATAACTACTTTTTGCAACTAACTTACGCCTAACTTACATGTCTAACTTAACCTAACTTAACCTAACTTAACTCTTTCCTTCTCTTTTCGCTCTCTCGCACTCTCACACTCACCCTCTCTCTCTCACCCACTCACACTCACTCATTCATTCACCCGCCCCACTCCGCATATCTCCAGCTTTTTCATCCATTCCTCCCCCTCACCTCCCTCTCCCAATATCTCCTCCACCACCCCCCAACTGCTATCCTCCCCCTCACACCCCCCATGCATCTCTCCCACACGTGTTCCTAGTTTTCCACCTCGCTCCCGCACATTCTGCATCTCCTCTTCTCCTCTCCCTCCCAATATATGCCTTCACTCATCTCGTTCCCCATCCTAAACCTTAACACCCTCTTCCACCTTTCCTCCAGCCAACCCTTTTCCAGATATTCCGCAATTCCTTCACTTTTATATCAATCTTATATCAATTATTGCTCCTCGACTCTCTAATCTTCTTCCATCTCTCCCCCTTCTGCCTCTCCCTTTCTCTTCCACTCCCTCCTCTTCCCCTATCTTCCATCCTCTCTCTTCCATAAATCGTCTCCTTTCCTCTTCCCATTTCCTTATTATTTTCCTTTTCTCCACCTCTCCTTCACCTCTTCCCAGCATCTCTTTGCAATTACTCCTCATTTTCCTTCCTCTAATCTCTTCTCAAAGTCAGAGGCCCTCTTCCCTGCCCTCCCTCTAAATTTCTATCTTCCAACCTCCTCCCTTAGCATGTACTCTGGCGTCCTCCTCTGTACCCCCATCGTCCATCTCACAAACCTCTCTTGAATATTCTCCAGCCCTTCCCTCTCCTTCCATACCCCATCACTGTCCAAACCAATCTATCAAATACCCATAACCTTCTTTTCCAGTCCTTCCCCCATACTCTTTTCCCCCATACCTCCCTCATCACCACCGCTGCCTTTCTTCCTTTATCTCTTACCTGCGCTTTCTGCTCATCATTCTTCTTCACTATATATCCTAAATATTTGAACTCTTTTACATCCTTCAATTTTTTCCCTTTCCACCTCCAATCATACCTTTTCTTTCTCCCTCCCTTTCCTAAACCTCATAATTTTCGTCTTAACTACGTTTAACTTCAACCCTTTCCCATCCAAATATCCTTCCAACCTCCCTATCATTGCCCTCATATCTCCCTCCTCCTCAACAACAGTACACCATCTGCATACGCTAATGTGTAGTACTTTTCCCCCCAATCTTTACTCCTCCCCATCCATCTTTTTGTCCTTTGATTTTCTCTGTCTTCCTTCTCCTTCCTTCCTCCATCCTAACTCTATCCTCTCCTCTCTCCCGTTCTCGCATTAAAATCCTCTCCTATAATCACCCTCCTACCTTCTTCTCTATTCTCCATCCCATCCTCCAGCTCTTCTAGTTTCTTTTCTATATCCCCATTTATGTATAAAGAGGGAGGGAACTATTCTATATCCTCTCTTCTATATTCTCTTCCTATAATCAACCACTTACATCCTTCCTTAATAATTACCTCTTCTATCTTCCCTTTCATCTATTTCTCCTCTTCCTCTAACTCTATCTCACCTAAGTCCTTTCTTATTCCCATTAAAATCCCTCCTCTCACTCTCCCCTTTCTGTTCCTCCTCTTCGCTAACTGCACCTTCCATCTAAACTCCTTCGGAAACCCTCCCTTCAGTCTTTCACAACCCTTTTTCTCTAACCACGTTTCCATCATCACCACCACCTCCCATTTCTTCACCAACTCCCAGAATTCCTTGTCCTTGTTCCCCAACTCCACAACATTCCAAAACGCTACTCTCCATCCCTCTACTTCCTCCTCCATTTTACCTCCTTCCTCTCCTCTTCCTGTAATCTGATTCCCCTAATACCTCATTCCTCCCACCCCTCTCATTCCTCAATCCCAACCTCTCCTCATCCTCTTCCCAGCTCCACCACTTTCCATCTATCTGTATTCTTCCGTACCTTATCCAAACCCTCCTTCCCTTTTTTCTCTCCCTCCTAGCAATTTCCTCCAAATTCCACTTTATCTTCCTCTCTTTCCATGTTAAATCATCTCTTATCCACATCCTTCTCTTTTCCTACTTCCTCTTGCTCTTCATTATCTCCTTCATTACTTCCAGCTTCACCATCCTAATCCTTACCCACCCATCTCCCTCCTCGTCTTCTTCGCATCCTTTATCTCCTCCTCTATCCCCATTTCCCTCATTATTTCTCTTATCTTCCTCTCCACTTTCCTCTCCTCATCTTTCATCCCTTTTATCATTATATTCCTCGTTCTTTCTTCTCTTTCTCTCATCTCCACCTTCTTTTCCACCTTCCTTATCTCTCACTAACTTCCTTGTCTCGCTCCCCCCTTGTCCGTACTTCTCATTATCCTCTCCTCTTTCCTTTCCATTCTCTCTTCCAGTTCCTTTATTCTACCTTTTAGCTCCTGATTCTCCATACCTCCTCTTTCTCTCCCAACAGTCTCCTCATCTCTTCTAATTCCTCTCTCTCTTCTCTCTCCTATAACTACTCATCTCTTTCATAATCTCCACCATCTCCTTCATCTCTCCTACCCTCCTTTATCTCTCTCCTCCACTCCTCCCGTTCCCTCCCTCTTCCCAACCCCTTCGCCTCCTCTCTTCCTCCTTCATTCTGTGGCAACCTCCTTGTCCTCCTCTCCTTCTTCATAGCATAGTACTCTTCCTCTATTCCCTCTGTCTCCTCCTCCTGCCTTCCCCGCTCTTCCTCCTCTTTCTCCCTCTTCCTCTTAAACATCTCTTCCAACGTCCCCATACTTCCTCTCTTCTCTTCCTTTAATCCCCTTCTCCCCCTCTGTATCGTCCCTTCATTCCTTTCCGCCATATCCCTTTACTTCAACCTCTCCTCTTATCCTCTTTTTCTAACCCTATTGTTCCTTTCTTTCTTATCCCTATCAATCTCACAACTCTCTAGTTTATGCCTCTGCCTACATCTGTTTAATACCTCATCGCTACTTTCCCGCTATCTAATTCCTACTCACTCACCTAGATAACTCACCCTGCTTCCCTCTTCTCTACCTTTCCACTCCTTCTTCTCTATCCTAACCTCTCCTGTCTTCTAACTTTTCCCTTACTTTCTCAACTCTCCACTGCTTCCCTCCTGCCACCCACACGCTCCCACACTCCTCTCGCTATCCTTCTCCCCTCTCCCCATACCATTCTTTAACACCAAGCCTTTCTCTCTCTTTTTCTCACACTCTCATCGCATTCTTACTTTGCCATATCATCTCTCACACAACAGAAACGGAAGTCCGATTTTATTTCTAATAGAATTAAACATTTTTTGTCTTTGACATCGAATTTTTATTTTAAAGAATATTAAGATATATATTGATTCTTCCAGAAAGACAACTAAATGATTAATTGTTCTGATTTAATACTAATTAAATTGCCAGATATTTCCTGTCCGAATTAAAATAAAAGCCGAATTAAATAACAGCCTCTATCGGGGAATGTAACACCTTAGTTCAACGAGTGTACTATCTAAGCTGTTTATAGCTGAAAAAGTATCGATTTAAACGATATGCGTTACTCCAGCAGTTTGCAAGGTGTCTATGCAATTTCTGCCTTCTACGTCTGTGGACTCGATTTGTTCCTTCAGTAATTCGAGTTCTCGTATACCGGACACTGTAACTTCGTACTTGTGCGCTACGAGACTCCGATAAAAATGTATCGCGAATGCAAGAAAAATTATTAACACCGGTATTAGCAGTATGCAGGCCGACCAGGCGGCCACCTTCGAAAAGTCGTAAAATTTCACCCAGCAAAGTATCGCAATTTCCAGTAGAAACAGCAGCAATCCCAGCAACGTGGAGAAAGCCCATGCTACCTCGATGTACCAGTGTAGACGCTCGTGCGGCGATTCGTGAACGAGACTTATGCTATGCAAATTACACACAGCTTCTATGTTGGGTAGAATGCATGTAGATATCATTAGCGCCAACATGTGAACAGCTACTAGCAACGTTGTGCACACGGCGAAGGCAATTAGCATCTCCGAGGGGACTTTTGTATCGGAATTCAGTTGAACTTCCACCATGGCGACCTGTCGACAAATGTGATTAACGTCTTTAGTTCAGATTGCTTATCATATGTCACTTATACGTAAGTCACGTTATTCAACACTTATCATATATTCGATTAAGTAACATTGAAAAAAATATAAATCGAATCGTTCACACACATGCACGCACGCACACAATTTTATTACAGGAATAAAGTTCGTCGTTTGACACGCGTAATTATTTATACATATACAAGGTGTCTTCACAGTCTCTTGTGAGGACGTAAAGCGAATTAAAATGAACACAAAAGTTCAATACCGTTTTGCGATATTCGCAATAAATCTCAAGATATTAATTTAAAAAAATTGGTTCACGTTAAAAAATAATCACGTGCGATGTAGTATATGAACTACAATTGCGCTGTATACTGTTGTACATTAAGTCAAACTGAACAAAAAAGTCCTCTACCATTTTGCAATTAACAACATAGATTTTTAGATATTAATTAAAGAAAATTTGTGTATTATAGTACATAAACATGTAACAGTTTTCTATATATTAAGTGTGTGTGTGTGTATGTGCGTGCGTGCTTGCGTGCGTGCGTGCGTGCGTGCTTGCGTGCGTGCGTGTGCGTGTGCGTGTGGGTGTGTGTGTGTATACAGGGTCATCGAAAAGTACTGGACCCCCCTAATATCTTCAGTTAGAATGCATTTTGGAGAAAATGTCCAATAGCAAAGTTGTATGGTTTCAAACGGGGAGTAAGATGATGACCTTGACTTTGACCTTGACCATGTCCTTCAAGATCATTTCAAGGTCAACCTAATTTTTTTAAATGGAACCCCCTACATTTTATTGCATATTCTTATAGCTTATCTCGAGAGCTTTCCAAAACGATAGAATAAAATATTTTTTCATTAAGTACTTTTTTAAATTTTAAATTTTTGAGCCTGTTTGTCTTCGTCCACGAGGTGACTACTGCTCGCTAAGAAGAAGACAGCACTGTATCAAAGATTAAAATCAGTGATCCGTATTGTTTGTTCAAAAGCTCGTACATTGGTGTCTGCGAGAGTGAGAGAATAAAGATCGGCCCCGCCAACGCTTTCGGGCAGATTCCCGCTAACGCCTTTGGACATCACGCATTTGAGCAGCTTCTCGCGATCACTTTCGGGCAGTATTCCGCCGTAGCCTACTAGCATCACCGCTTGAAGCCGTACAACTTTGCTATTGGACATTTTTCCAAAATGCATTCTTACTGAAAATATTAGGGGGATCCAACACTTTTCGACTAATGTATTTTCTTTAAACTAATTAATTGGTCTCGTTATTCCGCGCACAAAAGTATTAAGGTTACGATTACTAAAAACTAAATAATATTTTACAAAATATTTTACATTTTGTGTCAAAAAATTGTTTACTTCAAATCTTTATAATTCAAAAAGTACTTAATGAAAAAATATTTTATTCTAGCGTTTTGGAACGCTCTCGAGATAAGATATAAGAATATGCAATAAAATGTAAAGGGTTCCATTTAAAAAAATT